TGCCCCGACCCTGCAGGCTCCACAGCAGCCCCCCAGGCAGGGGCTTAGGACCCTCTTTACCCGCTCCGTCCCCAGGCACCCTCCTCTGCTGAGCCACCGCTCTGGCTGGGTTCGCTGAAGTCCCTGCAGTCAGGTTCCCTGGGCCCTGGTGCACAATGAGTTCTTAGGGCTTAACCCCTTCCTGCCCACGCTGTAGTCGGGGGACAGGTGGCGGCCGGGTTAGGTTGGTGGCCAGCAGCAGCCTGGAGGTGTTAGCTGCCTTTTGACGCTGTGTGGGCAGGAAGGGACAAGCGGGGTGGGGAGGTGGGAAAAGATGAGTTCTGCAAAGACATGGGCCAGGTCATCCCTTTCCCCCACCCCCACCCTGCGGCTGGAAGCAGTTCCTATCCCTTCCCTCCCGCACCGTGCCGAAAGGCTGCTGCTGGCCACATTCTGGTATGAATCCTGGCCAAAATCTGGGGAGGGGGGCATGTGACCCTGTGTGCCCCCCCCCCACCTGTTGCCTCGGGAAGACATGGCGCCAGGTACAAGGAGAGGCAGGTCCGTCCTGGGGGCCCAGCTAGGCATGAAGGGCAGAGAGCGCCGGGAAGGGAGGGTCGGGTCGGTCAGTCACACACCCGTGCCCCCCAGTGAGAGAGGTGTACGGAGTGTGTGTGTGTCATCTCTCCCCGTGTGAACCCTAACGCCTTAAAGATAAGAAGGTAAATAAAAAGCATCCGCGACTCAGTATTTCTTTTTAACAGGGGCTCAGTCAGCTTGATGTTAATTTGAATGTTTATACCGCGTAGTTCTGACTGACTGCCATTGAACTCGCTTGAATATGAGTAATTTTACCAGGTGTCCCGTATTCAGCATAGGGAAATATGGTCACCCTAAGTTTGTGTCCAATTATCATGGCTTACTTTGATTGTAACAACCACCCATTAAAAAACCATTTGAGCTGTATTTAGTATTTGTTGGTAGGAAGAAACCCCCGTGTGACAGTCTGTCAGAGGGTATTATCCCTCCTTTTGGAGGTGAAAAAGAGACAAAGTTAGCTGCGGTGGTGTGGAGCGGGTATTGTTGCTGCTGGTGACGTCCAGTCCTGTTTTCTTTAAGACAGAACACACATGCGCGCACACCGGGAGAGACAAGAACAGCTAAACTAGAAAATACAGCTTCTGTTTCTGGTGCTGACTTTCACTTGCAACTTTGCTGCTGGAAAAATGCAGGCACTGCCCAATGTCTTATCAGCTACTCCGGGCTTGTTCCAGCAACGGGCTGTTTAGGGCATTGCTTTTAGCTTGTCTTTCTGGTCACCAGGCTTACAGCAGCGTTGCAAAGATGGAGTTGTCTTGGCCAGCTGAGCCAGACAATTTTTAGAAAGGAGAGAGACAGGGAAGAGGCGAATTAAGGTGAGGAAGGAAAATTACACATGAAGGAGGGAATGAGAGCAGGAACCAAAGTCTCACACATGCCAGCCATCTTTCCGAATTGAGCTGAAGCTGGGGCAGCTGCTAATGTCATTGGTTCCCTCTCTCTGGCCTGGTCTGGTCAGGATGGTTCTCAGGATCAATATGATGAAGGCCCAACAGTGTCCTGGTGGATCCTGGGGCCCCAAGTGATGGTGAGGGTGGCAGCCATTATGATGAAGCTCACTCCTTGCAGTCCATGCTTTCCTCTTCCCCAGCATCCATGTCGTGACACCCCCCCACCCCACCCCGGTCAATGATGCCCAAGGAAATGGACATACATTCCACTCATTTCCAACATAAACCTTTTCACCCATCTCTAGAGTCTTTCTGCTCATTCTCACGCCGCCCTGTGACTTTACCAGGAGCCTTGCAGATCCCTTAGCACAGTTCTTGCAACCTAAACAGTCCAGTTAGTATCAGGTTGTTAATCGCCTCTTTTTGCTGACTTTTACAAACAACTTTGTATAACAGGCTGAGTTGGACTTCTGTTACCTTGGGCAACATAGAGTAGAGGCCTGTGCACCGCGGCTCTGCATGGCGTATGCGGCATTCATTCACTGCCTGGCCCTTCTGTCCACGCAAGCAGGATTTATGCAAAATATCCAGTTGAGAGCTGAGAGGGGGAATTCTCCTGCAAATTTCCAGCGCAGGCAGTGAGATTTCAAGCTTCTGCAGGCCCAACTATACAGATGGCTCTGGTTAGTTGGCTCGCCCGAAACAGATGGTTCACAGTGCAAATATTGTGCTTTTGTTTGCACACACATACACACACCCCCAAAGAGCCCAGGCAAATTGGGAGCCCTGGAGCTTCTGAGCTGTCAATATTGTACAAGCAATTAGATGTGTTGACAGCAGAAGGCGTTGCGCTGGGGATGGCAGCATTGTGCATTGCAGAACCCATCCACTAGAAAGCGATATTTCTGCCTGCCCTGATTACTGCTCTGTTACTGTCACGCAGCCAGAACGGCAAAGGCACAGCCCACTCTCCTGGCATCAAAACCAGCTGTCCAAAGGATGGCTCATGGCACGGCTAATGAGAGGGGAAGGATTTCACTGCTAGGTCAGCTGTTCAAATCCAATGTGTCAGGAGAAACTTTAAAGATGCTACCATCTTACTGGGTCTTTGGAGACCTACATAGAATAAGTTGGGGGTTTCAGTCCATTGTCCCAACTGGTAGAAGAGGCAGAGAGGTCAGGGCCGGAATGTGTCTGGAAAATGTCCCCATCCTCATTTCCAGAGATGGTCCCTTCAGCTCAGGATAGAGGGGCAATGAGAGGAAGTTTACTCTGCCTTTCTCCAGGCTATACCTGTTCAGGGGTGAAGCAGGATATGAGATGATCAGAGATGATGAGGTGCCTGAGGGGAACCTCACAGAGGGGGAGCCAGGAGGCACCATCCTGAATCCATTTCTCCCATTAGAGGAATCCAGAGTTGTCAGCAATGGTTTCTCCCTCCTGCAGAGAGGGAATAAGACCAGCATAGCAGCCAGTGGGCTAGAGCTAATAATGGGCCGGCAGCAGGAGGAGGAGGAGACGGAAAGGCTGGTGAGATAAGAGTCGCTTCCCAAGTAGTTGTGTAAAATCAAAGCATGTGCATTGACAGTGGGGAGGCTGAACGTCCCTGGCCCCACGGTGTCTGAGAATGGAGCCTAGCCCACTGCTGGCCACAGGAGATCGGCTTGTGAGATCAAATGACACTTGTGAAGAAAAGGGGAATGTCCATGAAAGGCACAAAAGCGAGGCAGGTGCAGGGACTGACTTGGACCTAGGGTGACCAGACAGCAAGTGTGAAAAATCAGGACAGGGGGTGGGGGGGTAATAGGAGCCCATATAAAAAAAAGCCCCAAATATCGGGACTGTCCCTATAAAATCGGGACATCTGGTCACCCTACTTGGACCCTGTGTGCCTCGAGCGAGCGGAGCAGCAGCAAAAAGATTTCCGTGTGCCGCTGTCACCACCACCTAACACTGCAGAGCGAGAAGAAAACATGGCTGCCGGGGACTGTGGCACTGGGCGGGAATGGCTGCTGGGAGGTAGAAAGCCAGGGTGTCGATTGATGGGAAGGCAAATTGAAAGCGGCTGGATGACAGCAAGGAGCAGGTTACACAAACTGTGAGCAATGGAGAGGACTGGACTATGTCATGGCACAGATGGGATAGGGGCCTGTTATGTCTTCCTCCCTGCACCCTGTAAAATCTCGCTTTCGCAAATGCACCCTCATCTATATCCGGCTGGAAAGCCCAGAGTGCTGTTCATTGCCTGAAGTTCATTATTTTGGGAAGCAGGAATTTGCTGTTCCGAGTCGGAGCACAGATGGAGCTGACCTCTTCTGAAGCTTCTGGGGACGTGGAGCCAGGTTTTTGTTCATCTCATGATAGACACAGGGGGGCCAGGTGGAAAGTTTGGCTCTGAATCTGGCCTTTTACAAATACTGGGTTTGTTGAAGTTTTGTTTTGGGCCTGACTCTGGCGGACAATGTTGGTTCATGGGACTTTGGCCAGTCACCAGTACCTGATGCTTGAGAGGAAGGCAAAAATGCCATACGCTTGGCCAAATACGCACCACTACACATAGAGAAGGGGGGGGGGGGGGGGGAAATTCGTTCTTGATCCCTGCGGCCATCACAATACACTGTGCAGAATGAGATGACATTACTCCTGCCCTAGCATCAGGGCCAGCTCTAGCTTTTTTGCCGCCCAAGCAAAAAACAAACAAACAGGCAGCTGGACTGCTGAAGCAAAAAAAACCACGGCAGCCTCAGGGAGTGCGTGGAGGGCAGTCAAGGCGGCTCGTAGGGGGACGAAGCGCGGCGCCCGCCCGCTCCCTCCGCCTGTGGGCAGCCAGGCGCTGCAGCCCGCTCGCAGCCAGGCGAGAGGGGCTCTCCCCTCCGGCCTTGGGGTGCCTTTCCCGGCCAGGCAGGCAGAGCCTCCGGGGGCTGCAGGAGGTGCTGGCTCAGCCGCTCCTTTAAAGGTGGCTCGGCCGGGCCGGGCTCAGAGAGGCGCAGGAGGCAGAGGCCGGTGCAGGCGGCAGGGAATGGCGTGTCCCGGGGAGCCCGGCGGCACAGTGAGCAGGAGGGATCGCTAGTTCCTGCCCCCCAGGCCGGGGTCCGTGCCCCTGCAGGGCTGGGCTGGGACTAGCGGAACGCGGGGAGCCGGCCGGGGGCTCCGGAGCTGCGGACTGGGCTGCCAAAGCAAAAAAAAAAAAAAAAAAGAACCACGGCAGGGCGGCCGGAATGTGCCGCCCTAAGATTGGCCGGAATGCCGCCTTTTACAGTGTGCCGCCCCAGGCACGTGCTCTCTCGTCTGGTGCCTGGAGCCGGCCCTGCCTAGCATGTATGTTACAATTGAGCCTCAATTATGGGCTGTCATGGATGCATGTTATAACTGGTCATCGGACGAACCAGTCCTTTTAAAAAATCCAGCCACCATTTGTTCGATTTGGTGGGTTTTCCCACCGCAACCTGGAAGGGTTTGGGAACGTGGCTCTTTCGTTTACTGACTCCACATTAAAAACTGCTGTGAGATGAGTGCCTGTTCATTGCTCAGCCCTACAGGTGTTCTAGAGAGCGACCGATATGGAACGTCAACTCTCCTCAAACAGGGTTCGCTCAGGCGCTCCTCCAGCGCTACCAGGCAGAGCAAGGAGGAGGGGAACAGCTTAAAATGCAAAGCAAGCAGGGTAAGTCTGTTCACATTTTTATAGTGGAGGCTGGCGGGGAGGCAAATATGACACTACGGCCCGAACTGGTTACTAAACACGATTGAAAAATCTGGGCCTGAGCTGTTTTGAAAAGATGACTTGATTACTGCTTACTCTGGATCAGATCCCCTTTCCCTGCTGTTCTCCCGTTGAAGTTCTATCTCTTCACTTTTATGGTCCTATCAGTACAGCCTATGGAGGTTCATCTAGAGACCCATGAAAAACTGGGCAGGCAGGAGAACTCTAGATTGCCCTAGTAAACCCCTCTGCATTTTCCCCCCACTGATGCTAATAACAGTTATCAACCAGGTGCGTGAGTAAGGGCATTAAGCAGCATAATGCAAGATGGGGGACTATAAATCATATTCGTTACGGTAATTAAATTGCCCTGAAAAGCCTTTTTGTGCCCAGGGAAAGTTGGCATTTTTAAGCCTGGAATTTATGTGATGAGTAGCTCAATAACAAACCAATTATAACTTGCATAGGCTGGGCCATTTAATCACCAAGTCCAAATGACTCCCTTCTCCCCGCTGGAAATGACTGATTTTCTGCTTGGAATTGTCATTTCATCTCCATGATAATTGGGGATGTAGATACTCAGAAGAGTCATGTGTGAGCTAATGAAATAATTAATTGCATTCATTTAAAAATTAGCTCTCTCTCTCTCTATCTCTTAGAAACACTCTAAAATAGTCTTAGAAATATTTAGAAATACTCTTATACACATAGGTGTTGGGCCAGCAGTCTAAGGCAGTCCAGTTCAATGGCTCCAAAGAGTCAAAGCTTTCTCTAGAGGTCTCAAGGGAGCACTGGATCAGCCCTTTTGTAGGGTTAGTATCTTATGTTGCTTTCTAGCGACCCTTGCTGGCCAGTATTATGGACTCCATTTACTGGCAATGTGCCATGCCACTCCAGATGGCTAGAAGGCGGGGCCAGCCTGAAACAAGGGCTGGAATCTCAGCTGATCCCAAACTGAAATCTCGCCATTGATTTTAATGGTGCTGTACTGATTAACACCCGTGGAGGAACTGGCCCTGGGTTTTTAGGGTTAAAGGGGAAACAATGGGGGACTTCAGGACAGACTCTGAAACCATCCCCCCACAACCTCTTCCTTAGGAACAACAGATAGAGAACGCGGAGTCCCTGATGGAAGCTGCAGGGTGGTTGTTTGGAAGTATGGAGCAGATGCAAACTAGACAAACGTACTTCAAGCCATAATGTGAGGCTATCACCAGAGAAGCCATTTTTTAAAGTGTGGGTGGATTCTCCTCTGAAAAGTAACTGTAAAAATGCCACCCTGGAACTTCCCTGCTTCTTATAGTTCAGTGATTCGGGGTTAGATTCACCCAGTTTATAATCACAAAATAATAATAAATTCCTAACCGTCAGCCCTGAAAACTGAGGGCCTAATTCTGCTACCTTTACTCACGCCTCATTATGTGGGTAGTTTGACTGGAAGTACCCTGAGTACAAGTGGCAGAATCGGGCCCTTCAGCAAGGGAGCTGACAATCAAGCTGTGCGCTGATATGACTGGCAATGAGGAATCTGCCAACAGAACTTAGTTAAAAATTCTATTGAGGACACATGAGCCAGAATAGATCCAGCTTGTTCTCCTGCAGCTGTATTGGCTAGGCAAAGATAAGCAATAGGGACCTGTTTTAGTCAGTAAGACAGACTCAGGGAACCAGATCTGTGGTGTAAAGATGAGCCAGAGTTAGTCACTTTTCTGCTTATTACTACACTTTAAAAAAAAATACCTTTTTCTTACTTAATACAAATGCAGCCCTGCTGACTTCACTCAAACAAACATGCTTGACTCCTCTTAGAACAGCCAGTCCAGCTGTTGGTGAGTGAGCTGGATTTGGTATTGCCTCGGGAATCAACAGATGTCAGTGCCATTCTGATTACAGAATCGTTATTAACGCTATTGGTGCAAGAGGCAGAACTAACAGGGTTTGACGCTCCAGACCAGCTGGTGTAAATCAGCGTCACTCTGTTGGCTCCAGTGGAGCTATACTAACTTACCCCTGAGGGCAAGATCCTTGTCTGGTGTATGTCTACACTGCAATTAAAAACCCAGGGCTGCCCCATGCCAGGTGACTCAGGCTCATGGGGTTCAGGCTCAGGGGCTGTTTAACTGCAGTGTAGACATTTGGGCTCAGATTGGAGCCCAAGCTCTGGGACCCTCCCCATTTGCAGTGTCCCATAGCCTGAGCTCCAGTCTACGCTGCTATTAAATAGCCCCTTAGACTGAGCTCCTCAGTAGACATACCCTCAGATTCCAGATTGAGTTTCCAGTGCTGGCAATTAGAGAAACAAACCTTTGCTTTGTATACTGAGCAAATTTGGATCTGGAAGCTCTTGCGATATGGAACTCTGCGGCAATGACATCTTTACAATCCTACTTCTGACTGTAAGTGGATTATAAAGGAGCTTTGGGTCAGTTCTTAATTAAGCAGATCTGGTGCCCCCTTCCCTCCATGACAATATCCTGCATCCTGTCTCTTTCTCCCCAAGACAATAGAATCATAGGACTGGAAGGGACCTCGAGAGGTCATCTAGTCCAGTCCCCTGCACTCCTGGCAGGACTAAGTATTATCTAGACCAGGGGTCGGCAACCTTAATACATTTTAACGTTTTTAGAAGGTCTCTTTCTATAAGTCTATAATATGTAACTAAACTATTGTTGTATGTAAAGTAAATAAGGTTTTTAAAATGTTTAAGAAGCTTCATTTAAAATTAAATTAAAATGCAGAGCCCCCCAGACCGGTGGCCAGGACCTGGGCAGTGTGAGTGACACTGAAAATCAGTTCGTGTGCCGCCTTTGGCACGCGTGCCATAGGTTGCCTACCCCGATCTAGACCATCTCTGACGTGTTTTTCTAACCTGCTCTTAAAAATCTCCATACGATGATTATGTTCCTCTGATTTCATTTGCAGCTTCCCCTGGGGAAAATTGGAAGGGGATTCAGCGGAAAAGACACTGATTTCCATGACGACTATGGATCTCTCAAAAACGAAGAGTGCTGTGAGGATATGAAGCTAAGTAGGCCAGAGCAGTGCCGCCTGGAACGCTTTGGCAGCCTGGAAGTCACCAATGTGTAATGAATTGGATTGTTCAGGCAAGACAGGACTCACTGAAATCAATGGTGACATTGTGGCCAGCAAATGGGAAAGAAATCTGAAGAGAGTGACTGAAACGCAGACTTCTTTGGTTGTACATATTGTAGCCGTTGCTAGAGGAAACTCTGTTCAAACCTAACACAGTGGCGTGTCTTTGTTTAAAGTGTCTGTATTGTGTTAATGCTGAGGGACCCAGATAAATCCAGTACTGATTCCCTATAGTCAAAGATTTCCAGCAAGCATTCCAGAAAACTTTCAGAAATGAACTTGGGCCCTCAGTGAAATGATAGCAATGCTCAGCCAATGACCTGACTGATCCATTCTTCTCTCTGGGTGGGCCCCCCACAAATACAAAATGCACTTATGGGATGACTGTGGGGACCCGGGACTGCCAGCTTGAATGGGGCAGGAAAGACCAGCCCCAGTGAGATTGCTTCCAGTTGTCATGACCCAGCATCAGCCCGTCAGGTTTGTCTATTGCTTTGACGTCGCACTGGGGAGGAAGGATAAAAAGAGAGAGGAAACAGGAGGAGGAGGAGAAATTAGGTGAATGAAAATCAACACGTGCTTTGGAACAGGATGGGGAGACTGGAAAGGTCTGGCCCTTTGGGGCACCCTCAGTGCTGTCACTGACCCTCATTATGCAAAGTGGTGAACACCCACTGGGAGCGCTGCAGGAGATCAGTGGGAAGTGAGGCAGTGAAACGCCTCCCATTCAGAACCTCGAAGGATCAGGCCCTTTCATTGTTCTCCAGGGCATAGATCCCATGGTGAGCCTTGCTTTAGAACTACCACGGATAGACAGTAATGTCAGGCAGGGGCAGTACTTCCTCATCTGAAGTCACTTCAGCATTGTGCAGCAAGAGATCAAAAACCTGACTCACCTCTCAGCCTCTGGGGCACTCACAGCTTCCAAAATTGAAAGATAGGAGCAGCCCTACTCTTTCAGCCTTCAGTCTCATGTGATTTCACCAACATGGGCAAGCTTTCAGTGCCTGGGTGGGAAGTGCCTGCTGCTACCAGAAGCAATGCTGGCGATTCCGTAGGTGACATTCTTCCCTGTGAGTCAGCCCTGAGCCAGTGCTCCAGCACGGCATTAAGGAGCATATGCTGTTGGAGATGTCCTTGCTCCGATTAAAAATGTGGATAGATGAGCTCCTGCCCCATTGAAGAGCTCAGAAAGCTTTTTACCAAGCTAAGCAGAGTGATATCTTGGCCAAATTCAAACCTTGGTACATACATTCTGCCTAGTTTCTTATAATAGTTCCCTTCCCTCCCTATGAATGATTGTTTAGCGTGTCTGGCATAGGCTGGGTGCTGTCTTCCTCCCCAGAGGTGGATGCATTTCAGCCGTGGCTGAGCCATCTATTTGCTGCAGTCTGTAAAGCACTTTGGGGACTTTCTGGCTGTATTATTATCGGTATGGTCTTACTGTGGTACGATTATTGCTATACATTCCTGGGCACAAAGGATGCTTTCGTTTATTTATTAGACGTTATGGGAGCTCATCGGGGCTCTGGGTTCTAAGTAAATGTTTTCTTTTGGTGAAACATATTGTCAGGCAGGCAGCTGTTGGGTTTGTTTTAGGCATAAAGGCCTCGCTCCAGCTCTATCAGTTCCCACCATCTGAGGATCTGGCCCAGTACAGTCAAAATCCACAAAGAGGAAAGATCAATTTTACACTTTTAAGGCCGCAGAGTAGATGTCAGACAAGCCCTTTGGAAAACTGAGATGAAGAGATGCCCTGGGACTGCAAGGTTCATTAGCATGAATGGCAAAAAATGAAGGGCAGAGGGGGGAAAAGATCCAGCAAGCAGCATATGAAACTCAAATCTCTGTCCGGAGGAGAACATCACTTACAACACGTATTTTCTGCTCACTCTTTTCCTCTCTCTCTTTTTTCTTTTCCTCTCAGGTATTGAGTGGGACAAACAAATATTTAGAAAAAGGAATTTTAAATATACTGGGCTAAATTCTGATCTCACTTACAGACAGGTAGCTCCACAGTCCTGGGTGCCCAGCATCTCTGAAAATTAGGCAACTTAGATGCCTGAATATGGATTTAGGAGCAATCAGCTAGCATGCTAGAGGCTGCATCTGCTAGGCGCATATGCACCTAACTCCCATTGAATCAAGGTTCCTACCTGCATCCTTAGGCACCAAAACAGCTTTAAAAATCTGGCCCATAGGCCCTAATTCAGCCTGGTATTTGAGCATGTGACTAACTTCAAGCATGTGAGCAATCCCCTTGATTTCAATGGGCCCACTTGTGTGCTTAAAGTTAGGTACCTGCTTAAGTACTTCGATCTTAAGTGGCACATAAATCTTGTGTGTGTTCTCTGCACAGGGGTGAATTTCACATTCAGGCAGGGCCACCCAGAGGCGGGGGGCAAGTGGGGCAATTTGCCCCAGGCCCTGCAGGGGCCCCGCGAGCCCTGGCCGAGAATCCCTACTCACCCGGCGGCGGTCCGGGTCTTCGGTGGCACTTTGGCGGCGGGTCCTTCAGTGCTGCCGAAGATGTGGAGCGAGTGAAGGACCCGCCGCCGCCGCAGATTCGGCGCGCCGCCCGGTGAGTACAAGCGCCGCAGCGGGTGGCGCCTTTTTTTTATGTCCACTCCCCCGCTTTGCCCCAGGCCCCCTGAATCCTCTGGGCAGTCCTGCATTCAGGGTCCAATCCCGCAGCTGCTCCATGGGCGTAATGGCTGCAGAAAGCCTATTTGAGTTGATCCAAAGCTCCTGGAAGTCAATGGAAAGACCCACATTCTCAGCTGGCTTTGCATCAGATTCCCACACCATTCCTTAACTAAGGGCCTGATCTAAAGCTTATTAAAACCAACGTGAGTTTTTCCATTGACATTACTGGGTTTCGGATCAGGCCTTTACATTTTAGTCAGATCTAAGACTTACTGAATTCTCTAGGAAAATCGGTTGTCCAAATGCCAGCTTTGCATCAATGAGCTCCACTGACAACTGAAAGCGACTATTCAGTGAGCGCTAAGATACCGTTTACTGTTTCTCTAGGAAAGGAACCGTGACGTGTGTATCATGTGAAAGCTATTTCAGTATCATTGGTTTATTCAGTTATTAAATACCTTGTTTTAATAACCACTGGAACTGTGCTGAAACAGAGATGGGGCAAATGTTTGTAACCAATTTCCTCCACAGAAGTGTAACCTCAAAAACCACTTCACCTACTGAGTAACATACTATCCTCTATTCTAGTGCAGTGGCATCAAATGTCACTTTGAATGGCCCTTTTCTTTATCGGTTGAGAGCTCACCTGGGAATCATTTCCTTGGTTAGCAGCAAGGTGTTTATCATCACGTATTTGAATCCAGGAGCCCCAAAGAGAGACAAACCTGCTATGGGCAAGGCCAACAGTGCAACTGAGTCAAAGACTTAAACATACATCAACCATGGGGACTGTAGTATAGATGTAGGAGGAAAGGAGCTATTTAGATGTCATGCAAATGAATCTGGATATATCAGGCAGTTGTACTGCACCAGAGGGGAGGCAAGGAGAGGGGACATAGGAAAGGCTCCATAAGGACAACAGGCCAGATTCTGCCCTCTGATATGTGCATGCGAGTCCCATTGGTTTAAGGAAAGCGTTGAAGGGAGGAGAAAGCCACCGCCAATGGGCAGCAGAGAGACAAGCAAGGAGAAGCAAATCTGTTTTGAAAGGCAGAGCTGAGAGAGGCGAGAGAAAACAAACAGTCTGGGTATGGATAAATCAATCCTATGTACATACAGGAATCATGCCACCTGCCTCTGAAATGCGGACACCTCTATGGTGAAAGGCAACGGGTGTTTAACAGGAGAATATGACACCCCTGAGTAGGAGAGGAAATGCGAAAGTATTGACATAACTATATGCAGGGACAGAGCATGTAATCACCACACAGGAATTTGGCAAGGAAATTCTTCTTAACATTCTGGTAGACACTTCTGTTATTTCATGTCTGCTACAGGCTGCATCTCTTGGTTTTATTTTTCATCAGTACAGCCTACTTTTCTTTCACTGTTACAGAAGTGATACCAAGGTCAGTTCTTAACATTCCCTTCTAATAGTTACAGAGCTAACTTGCCCTCAGCCCACTGTCTCTAAAACATCCAGCCTTGGATGATATTCAGTTTTACAGAATGGGAGCCCGACGGGAAACTGAGAGCACAAGGAGCTTATTTATGTACATAAAACTCCACTCTTGTTGCCAACCTTCAGAGTGCCTCTTGGAATTTGCTAGGCATTAATCACACATTTGGAAAGATACCCAGTTAAAAATGGAACCAGGAAGAAACTGAAGTATTAATTAAGCAGCGTCTCCTGAATGTTTTCAGTCTGACATTTAATGGTCACATTTTTGACAGAGTAAATAACAATTTAAATACATAAGATCACAAAACCAGTAACATTAATGTAAACATATAAAGTGTATGTTGTGTCTTCCTCTAGTGGCTAATCCACATAGAACGTATAACAGCCCACTATTGCTGCCAGCTACCGGAGTTACCCCTGTAGATCAAGTAGGCTTGATATGACAGCCTTCACAAATATTACATAAGTGATTAGGAGAGGAAATGTGGAAGAACTGATGTAACCATATGCAGGGAGGTAAATCAAGGTCTGGGTCTTAATACTGGGAGTTCTGAGTAGAGCTGTGGGAGGATGGAAGTTCCACTTTCTGAAGAATTTTGAGATCTCTAAATTTAGCTTCATTCCAAAAAGGAACAAAAACTGAAAATTCTGAAATTTTCTGTTACGGAAAATTCCAGGGGAAAATAGTTTCAGGTCAATCAAAATATTTCCTTTTGACAGATGGAAATGTTTCCCTTCCATTTTGACTTTTATAGATTTTTGACTATTATATAATAAAATGCAAAATAAAATAAAAAACTAAACAAAGTAATTTCAAAAGAAAAGTTTAAACCTTTCATTCCAAAAAAAGTCAAACCCAGAAATTACGACATTGTCAGAACTATTTTCCCTGTTTTCTCCTTAAACAAAATTCCAGAAGAATTGACCCAATTTCCCAAAATGTTTCAATTTTGATGGAACTGCATAGTCTTAAAGAATATGGTTCCATCAAAGTTTCTCTGACCAGCTCTAGTTCTGAGTTCAGATCCTGGGGTTGACGTGTTTGTTACTAATGCTCATTGAAAAATAGTTGTAGAACAGGTGGAGAAAGGCTTGCTTAACCAGACTGGACTTCCAAAGTGCTGTGCATGGAGGCTTTCATACCCCACTCCAAGAAGACATCCGCATGACCAATGCTCAAGATAAAAAAATTTTGCTCACACCAAACATCCTTAAGTGATTTCCCTAGTCTGAGGGCTGCCATCTTGAAATCATAACATAACATAACACAACCACCCAGAGTGGAGAAACAAGGAGTGGGGTATAGTCCTGCAATTCCTGCAGTCCTTAACTCATGAAGTGCTCCCATTGAAGCTGGACTTACAGAGGGTTATTTGCATGTACACATGCAAATAAAGCCCTTAATTTGGATGGGCATGGTGGACCTTCACCAAATCAACAGAGGGAGTGTTGCCTGCTCTGTCTTTCTGCCAAAAATATTATCTGCTGATTCATGCTAAGAGTAATTTAAGGCATTATCCCTGGGAACCAGCCCCTGAAATTGGAAGTGACCCAGATCCACCAGTGAGTCAGAGGCCACCTGGTGCAGGGCTGAGGGCTCGTGGTTACATGCTGGGTTGGGCTGGGCTTGTCTCAATTGGGAAGAAGATTAAGAACTGGGAGTGGGATGAAGGCAAGAGCCCATAGCTCCAGGTAGACGAATTTGTCTAGGTGACCCTGTGGAACACACATTGAGCTATTTTCACCTCTATTGGGGAGAGGTAGAGGGGATGTAATTTGGGTTTCATATTCACAGGAAACTTCTGTCTGACTTTTAAGGCCTTAGGTAACAAATAAAACTGAGCTCCTAAGGACAAGCAGCAGGCACGTCTTGTCTGATGAGACTACAGATCTTCTTCACCCCCCAGCAAGAAAAGATGCAATGAAAACTCAGCCCCAGCAGATTCTGGATCCTTAGATATAATTTGTGAGCCCATTGGAGTCAGTGGAATTTCAATGGAGTTAGGATTGAGGCCCTTAATATCTAACAGCTGTATGATGCCACTAAATCAAATCCTTAATAACTGCAGAAGGATAGATGGCCTAAACTCTCTGGAAGAAAGCACTACCACTAGACACAGGGAAACGTGACAACAAGAGTTGCCATGCATTTTAGTGTACATAGAGACATCCTGATTGTATAGTGCCATGTGAGTTAAGATCCAGCCCTCCCTGCAGGAACGGCAGTCAGGTGCGGCAAGCACCTGCAAATGTGGAAGCCCCGATTAATGGACACATGCCAGCCAAGGGGAGGTAAAACCGGACACACAGTCATAATCACTGCAGAGCGTGCCAAGTTGGTCAGCGTGAGGTAGACACTTGCTGCTCGACTCTTAGACAGATCCAACTGGTACGTCTGTTCTGCTGGGTTGCCTGCCAGTCACAAGCTGGAACAGTTTAGGGGCAATTCTTCTCATTTGGGCTTTGTGTTATACTGCAGATGAGTCATAGATAAACGGCACCAGAGCTGTGCATGGAAATTCCCCCCCCCAACCCCCCCCGCCATTCCAATTAACTTTGAACAAGCCACAACACTGTGTTGTGCTACTATAGAAAAATTGCAGCTATGACTTTGTCTAATGGCATCATAATCACATAAGGCATGTGTTTATGCGACAGTGGGATCTGGTAGGTTTGTCCCTGGGTCTCTACGTGTCCAAAGGATATACACCTTGCAAACCACAGGAACACGCGCCCATAAGGCAGTTGCATTAGCTGCACAAAGACTTAGTAGAGGTAAATTCCAAAGGAGTCATGTTAAACTAGCCACCAACTAGAGAGTGCCCATAGAGACAGATAAGTACAGTGGAAGCATTAGGGGAAAAAAGCAAATTGCAATTGTTTGAAGGGGCTAAAGTGTTCAGACAACACTCTAAGTGAATGCAAAATTGCATTTGCAGCAAAATCAACGAATGCTGTAAGTTTTGCTAGTTCAGTAAAAAGAAGATGATACTAACGAGAAAAGAAACAGAGAAAATATTGTCCCACATATTAGGGCTGTTGTTTCAGGGTGAGACCTCTTTAAGGAAGTCAGGCATAGCCCTATGGCTCCCACCTGTCACTGACTAGCTGAATCTCAAGTGGGGAGATAAGACCAACAAGCAGCTTACTTGGGAGCTGGGAGGGAGTGGTATGTAGGGGATTGCTGGAGAGTCTGGATCAGGGAAAGTACCAGAAAGGGGCTTGTTACACTAGGTAGGGGACAGACCTGGCTAGTGACAC